AATATCAAATATTCAATATCTTTTTTTCCACCAGAGGCCTGAGAACAAAACAATTCACAGTCAACAACAGGCAACTGAACAGGAACAACAACAAAACCACACAAGACTTTTTATTTGAGTGAAGTTTGTAAATCGTTTTATTTAGCCGGTGTGCTGTTAGTTCTGTTTTAACAGAGCTTCATAGATGAATAACAGGAGGTGACCGTCTCTTTTCGTTTGTAATGACGTCCGTCCAACCGAGGGATACAGAGAACAATGGTGTGTGTGGGATTTGTCGTTCATGATGATGCGTAGTGAAATACTGGGTTCAACAGCTGGAGACTTGATGGGGCTGCGTGATAGAACATCTCCATATTCAAGGATTCGGATGGAGACAAACAATTTTTAATCCTTTGCTGCACCACTCCATTATTTGTATTCTATCATTGTCACATTTCTTGTGGATGAGAGTCTGACAGAAATCACAACACTAAAAACAAAACTGGACGAGAAATGTCATTTGAATACTTTATTGTTCATTTCACCGCAACAAGTCAGAACACGAGTGAACTGATGATAGGTTTACAGCAGCTGGTGATGGATGTTCAAAACTACAAAACATTTTTCAGGTTTACATATTACAGCATGTGAAACAATCAAAATCAACCACCCACTGTCACCCATTAGGATTTAAAATGTGTTTTAATACTTGGAAAAAAAGAAATCTCAAGAATCTCACCAGCCTTATACCAGCTTCACACCACAATGCTCCAGCTTCTGAATATTTGAGGTGGTTTAATAGCAACGCAGAGTGAAGCTACTTAAAAATATAAATCTAATTTTATTCACTTGATCACATCTCCACTCTCAGGCTGTGTTTATTTGTTCCAGTGGATCTCATAAGACTTTTTCTCGGTGTAACTTGTTTCTGCTGTTCCTGTGCCACCTCTGACTTTTTCCTTCACCACCTTCACTACCAGACCACCAGCCAGGGCGATACCTGCCGCAGCCTTTCCTATATCAGCCACTGCGGACAAAATCCGAGTAGTTACCTCCACAGTTCCCCAAGGGTCTGATGCGACCCTGCTGGCCACACTCGGAACTGTGAACCCACACACAGCCCCAGCAGACCCAGCCTGAGCTGAGACTGCTCCTGCAGCAGCACCCTGAGGGGCTACAGCGGCCACCACATGCTGCCCTGCTGCTGAAGCTAAACCACCCTGAGCTGCACACATGTTGGCTGCACCTACTGCTGCGGTTTCAGCTGCACCGAGGGCTGCTGTGCTGACAGCAGCTCCCTCCAGAGCTGCACCTAAAGCAGCCCCAGCTCCCAAGGACCCCCCAACTCCTGCTGCCACCCCCACAGCAGAGACCCCTATGACACTAACCTGCCCCAGAGCATCCAGAGCACCCTCTCCAGGACTGGCAGCCTCAGTGCCAACAATGGCTCCCATAGAACCGCCCATAACCCCACCTGTTGCTGCTCCCAGTGCCACGGCAGTTTTCCCTGAAGCTGCTGCCACTATGGCCCCCACAGCTTTCCCAACACCTGTGCCTCCCGCTACAGACATCCCTGCTAGTTGACCTGCAGCGAAACCCACCGAATTTCCAACAAGAGAAGCTCCAGCTGCAGCCGCTAAAGGGACTGCTGCACCAAACACTGCCCCAACTGCCATGCCTGTGGCTCCAGCAGCCACCAGGATCTTAACTCTCCTCAGGACGTTAGGAGACAGCACAGCCTCCTGTCTCATACGAGTCACGGATGACAGGTGAGACAGTTGCCTGCTGGTGGCCACTCTGCGGCCCCTATGTCTCCCTCTGAACCGGTCCCTGCATTGTTTAAATCCGTCTCTAAGGAGGCTGAGAGCACTGCCTTTGCTCTCCTCCGTCCATCTCTCCACCCTAAAGTCATCTTCATGTCCTCTGTCTACCTCCCTCCCTCTGAACCCTTGTGATCCTCTCGTGCTGCTCGCTGCTTCATCAGACTCCAGGTGACACTTTCTTCGTTTTGCTAGTTTCGCCAGTTCCTCCATGCTGCTGCTGTTATGTTGTTCTCCGTCCCCTCGCTCCCTCAACATGGTTTCCTGCTCCTCCCTGATGGCAGCTTCAGCCTCTAAAAACATTGCGTTGGTATAAATCCCTCTGGTCGTCTGCCTCACCATCATGTCCACCTTCATCAGGAGTTCTTTCACTTGCCCTGAGTTACTCGGGTCTTTGTTGTTGAGGACATGGTACCTGCTGCCACACCTGTCAATCAGAGCCTTGAGCCCGGCAGGCGCAGTCCTCAGGAACTCTTCAATCCCTATCCCCTCCAGGTCATCACCTCTGGTAAAAAGAACCACTGTGTGGTGACGGACTGCTTCCTCCCCAAATATCTTTGACATCTCACAAACAGCCTTTTCCTCGTCATCTGTGTATCGTCCTATTGGCACCACCAACAGGAAGGCATGTGGCCCGGGGGCACAGAGACACACACACTTTGCTATCTCTGCATGAATCTGCTCCACACTGAGGTGAGTGTCCCCGAAGCCAGGCATGTCAACCACTGTGACTCTCCTCCTCCTCCTCCTCTGTGTGACAGCCTGGCCTTCCTCCTCCTCCTCCTCCTCGGCTGCCTCTTCCTCTGCGAGCACGACGCTCCCGAGCTCACAAATCTGCGTGACGGAGCTCGCACTGATCTGAGACAGGAACTGCCTCCGGCCCAAGATGGTGTTTCCAGATGCACTCTTGCCACTTCCCGTTTTTCCGATGAGGACGAGCCTGAGCTCTTCACCCCAGCTGGTGTCACCTTCCCTCTCACCCTCCATGACACCTGGATCCTTGTGCTCCTCCTCATCTGCTGAGGGAGAGAGCAGAGATGGCCTCAGACTTTAGAGACACTCTTATCATTAGATCAAAACAGGCACATGGACTTCCTCATTAGTGAAAGATAGCTTTTAGATTGCTGATGGAAACAATACAGCTTCCATGTGTTGTCAGGAAGGTTCTGCACACAAACAGACATGAATAGCTTCTAGCTCCATGCAAGAGAAATGAGGAAATATCTGGTTACACGGTTCAATTCAAAGTTTTACTACGACACAAAGAAGAAACACTGAAGGATCGAGAATGAACCATAAACACCTCGCTGTCATTTATTAGCTGCCGTTAACTTTGGACTGATTACCCTTTAGATAGCCAGCCTTAGCATGTTGCTAACTTATAACCTTGTTGTGGGGGAAGAGGCAACAATCAGGACATGAAGACTTCATCTCACCAGGCGCCATGTTGTTCTCTGAGAGTTTCAGTTCAACGGGTGGTTCCTCTCAGTCTCGAACATGTGAACTTCATCCTCTGAAAACAGCTGATGCTAAATGTTGAGCTAAAGTCAACCAGAACAAAAACACTGCAACTTGGTACAGAGGCTCCAGTGGAGGTCTGCCCCCTGCTGGACGTTGCTGTGACACACACACACGCACACTCACACCCACTCACACACTCTCTCTCTCTCTCTC